TACACAGGTGCTGTGGCATGCGTGTGGAGGTCAGAGAACAACCTTCAGCAGTCAGTTCTCTACTTCCATAATGTTGTGCAATTTACAGTCATCAAGATTTATGTCTACACCAAATTCACTAATATCTCATTATAGAAAAAAAAACCCATAGGAGATGGAGAAATGAATAGGAACACAGTCACAAAATCAGACTACAATTTACACTTCTCTGTCTGTGGACATTCAAAGAAAAGAATGAGTGATAGAAGATAAAAAAATGACATGAAATGCCAATGCCAAGCTCACACACCTGCTGCTCATTCACATATACGCACATGTATGCACGTACCATAGAGAGAATGTAGTGCAATCACATTACTTCTCAGGGCATCTATCTCTCAATGGCTGGCTTAGCAAGATGAGCATAATTAAAGCTAATGATTGGTAGATAGTTCTCAAGTGTTCATCAAAGGACCAGACCAATTTGCATTAAAAATTGACTGTATCTACTTATTTATTTTGCATGTATGTTACAATATAGTCTCACTAGATTTAGGAAAATATTTATGATTTAAAAATATTTTTGAGCCAGGTGTGGTGGCACAGGGCCGTAATCCCAGTACTTGGGAGGTGGAGGCAGGAGAATCAGTTTTTTTGGCTAGAACTGTACAAAGACAAACAAGCAAACAAAACAAAAAGGGTCTGGGAAGGGGTTTCAATCAGTAGAAGGCTTGCCTTGCAAGCGTGAGTACTAGGATTTGAGCTCCAGAACTCACATCAAACAAACAAACAAACAAACAAACAAGCACCCCCCCCCCAACCTGGGTGTGGAGCCTGCCCAGGTTCAAGCCAGCTGGGGTCCCAGTCCTGAGAGGGGAAAGTGAACAAGGGCTCCCAACCCTTAACTATCTGCAACTGATACTCACTGGCAAAGGAAAAATTAGTTTTCTTCAATGGTGTCTCACTGAGCATGTTAACCCCAGTTCAGAGCAGGCCCCATACACAGAAGTAGACGGCCAGCATAAAATGAACTCAATGGTATTTTTGTAGACTTTGTCTCATATTGTTTTGTTTGGGCATTTTTTTTGTCCCCTTGGTCTTTTGCTTGTGAATTTTGGTTTACGTGATTATTATTATTATTATTGTATGTGTGTTGTGTGTGTTTTTTATTTTTTGTTTTTGTTTGTTTTTTAAAGAGAGGGAAAGGAGAGGCTGGAGAGACGGTTCAGCAGTTAAGAGCACTGGTTGCTCTTCCAGACAGTATATAGGTTCAATTCCCAGCACCCACATGGCATCTCACAAGTGTCTATAACTCAAGTCCCAGTGGATCCGACTCTCTCACGAAGACATGCAGGTCAAACACCAATGTATCTAAAAAAAATAAAGAGAGAGAAAGGGCATGGAGTTGGGTGGGTAGGGAGTCTCTGAGAGGAGTTGGGGAGAGGAAAAATGTGTAATCAAGATATATTTTATGAATTTCTTTCAATTAAAAAATAAAGAATTATTTTTTATTTTTTTTTTTGGTATTTCAAGACAGGGTTTCTCTGTGTAGCCCGGCTGTCCTAGAACTTGCTCTGTAGACCAGGCTGGCCTTGAACTCAGAGAGATCCATCTGCTTCTGCCTCCTGAGTGCTGGGATTAAAGACGTGTGCCACCACTGCCCAACTAAAATAAATAAATATTAAAAAATACCCTGGACATGGTGGGGTGTGTTTGTGATCCCAGAGTTGGGGGGACAGAGATGTGCAGATTCTTAGGGCTTGTAGGCCAGCCAGGCTAGCCTACGTGGTGAATTACAGGCCAGAAAGAGAGCCTATCTCAAAAAACAAGATGGATAACTCCTGAGGAATGACAGCTGAAGTTGACCTCTAACCTCTATGTGCAAGCACACACATGCATCTATGCATCCATGAACATTCGAGTCCATGCCTCCCCAATATTTGTGGTTTGTAGAGGTAGTAGGTTGGTTAAGAATTGCCTTAGACTACTAATAACCAGCAGACATTTTAATGGCATAAAACCAGATGTGTTTATTCTCTTTCCCACAAAATAAGTTCAGGATTAAGCCTCTCTGCATGCCCAGTGTTGCTCTTCGCCTTTCTCAGCTGCATCTCTGCAGGGACCCTGGCTGCAGTGATGCAGGAAGGAATGGGTGTGGAGCAGAAAGCTCTCCCTGGGGCTTTCTGAGCTGCTGAGAGGACACGGAGTGGATTCCCATGGTGCTTTAAGAGTTGCAATATTTCTTCTAGCCAAGAGGACATTGAGAAGTCACATGAATTCTAGGATGAGAACTACCTGAGGACATAAAGCAAATTGTGCACGCGTGTACACACACACACACACACACACACACACACACACACACACCACACAAAACACTCTTTAATTTTTTTTTTTAAGATTTATTTATTTTATGTGGGTGAGTGTTTTGCCTGCATGTATGTATGTGCACCATATGCATGTCTAGTGTGTGGGGCAGTCTGAAAGGGCATTGGATCCCCTGGAACTGGAGTTATGTGGATGGTTGTGAGCTGCCATATAGGTGTAGGGAACTGAACCTGGGTCTGCAGCAAGAGCAGTCAGTGCTCTTTTTTTCTCTTTCTTCTTCGAGACAGGGTTTTTCTGTGTAGTTTTGGTGCCTGTACTGGAGCTCACTCTGTAGATCAGGCTGGCCTCGAACTCACAGAGATCCGCCTGCCTCTGCCTCCCGAGTGCTGGGATTAAAGGCGTGCACCACCACCACCCGGCTCACAGCCAGTGAACCTTGTCTCAACAACCCTGAGCCTTGTCTCCAGCCTCCCTTTCTAATTTTTTTGACCATCGAATACTTGCACACATTGAGTTATGACTGTATTTATTCTGTATTATCTGGCCCTCCCCATTTCCTTCTTCTACCTTCCTCTTCCTAGTTAGTCCCTTTGGTACTTTCACCTCTCTCTCTCTCTCTCTCTCTCTCTCTCTCTCTCTCTCTCTCTCTCTCTCTCTCTCTCTCGTGTGTGTGTGTGTGTGTGTGTGTGTGTGTGTGTGTGTGTGTGTGTATGTGTAATCCTTGAGCAGGTAACCATGAGTTCATGATTGCCATGTCATGTCCGGCAGACAGCATTTCTTAGTGTTCCTTTCTATCCTCTGACTCCTACAATCTTTCTTCCCCTCTTCTGAGGAGTTCCCTGGGGTTTGGAGGAGACAATATAGATGGTCTACTTAGGGCTGAGCACTCAAAACTCACTTCTCTGGGCACTTTGAATAGTCTCTGTGTAATCATCTTTCACAGCAAAAAGAAACTTCTCTGACCTAGGGTAGCACTACTCTGTGGGTATAAACATAAGTAACTATTTTTTTCCTTTTATTGAAAATAGATGCTTGCCAGGCAGTAGTGATGCATGCCTTTAATCCCAGCACTTGGGAGACAGAGGCAGGCAGATCTCTGTGAGTTTGAAGCCAGCCTGGGCTACAGAGTGAGTTCCAGGACAGCCAGGCTACACAGAGAAACCCTGTCTTGAAAAAACAAAGAAACAAAACAAAACAAAAAAACCAAACAGTCAAGCAAAAAAGAAAATAGATTCTTTTCTCATACCATGCATCCTGATTATAGTTTCCCTCCCTGCGCTCCTCCCCACCTCCCTCCTCTGATTCACTCCCTTTCTGTCTCATTAAAAAAGATCAGGCTTCTAAGAGATAACAACCAAAATGACAAAATACAATAAGATGAAGCAAAACTCATCCCACTGAAGCTGGGCAAGGCAATCCAACAGAAGGGAAAGCACCCCAAGAGCAGGCACAAGAATTAGAGACCCATTAGCTCACACAGAAGTCCCATAAAAATACAAAGCTGAAAGCTGTAATATATATGCGGAGGACCTGGTGCAGATCCATGTCATAGACATAAACAATTATTAAACAGACTGACAGCATGTCTGGTTAGCAAAACATCACTAGTAGGTTTCCTTCTAGGGCCTACGACCTCCCCATGCATAGACTTTTGAACACTCTTATACGGGTAAACTTATTCTTCGGGTGCTTTGGACACACTTTCGGTTTTGAGTGAGTTTATTAAGCCCATAGAAAAACAATGTAATAGAATAAATGGAAAGTGATAGGGTGACAGAGATGAACACCATCAAATTGGGGCTTACAAACACCCAGCAGGAAATGACTGGGGGGTGGCAGTCAGCTGGGGTTTCCCACAGAGAGATTCCTGGGAAGAGCAAGGTGCCCCTCTGGCAAAGATTCTAAGTAAAAGAACAACCCTACACAAAGAACTACAGGCAGCTGGGTGAAGCTGAGAGAGGTGGTCATTCCCAGGGAAGAGCATTCCCATTATTCAGTGCCAAATTGTGGTCAGCCCTAAAAATCATAATACTAGCCCATAATTATGTGACTCAACAGGTTATATTTAGCAATATATATGTATGCACAAAAACAGACGTGCATGCAATAGCAGTTGATGAAGAAAAAAGGCCATGAATTTGAAGGAGATGGGGAGGGGCATGTGGGAGGGTTTGGAGGGAGAAGAGAAGGGAGAAATGTTGCAACTAAAATAAAATCTCAAAAAGAAAAAATAGAAGAAAAAAGAAAAAAGAAAGAATAAATAATAGACAGAAGTAGCATCATCAGATTGGGCGCTCACAAGATCCAGGAAAAACTGACTGGGGAAGTCGAGGCAGGCATTTGGAGTTCTTCATTTTGCTTTCTCTCCAATGGCTGAGCTCCCCGTGTCTGAACGTTCAGCTCTCCTCCGATTCTAGGTAGTTTTGTATTATGGGATACACGGTGGTAACTTCTGCAGTATTTCCCAACAGTTCGTTTTCCATCTAGCTGTTCTCAAGGATATAATGCTTTTATTCTTTGGCTGTCTGTTGTTCCCTTCCCTCCCTGTCACAGAGTCTGGGAGGCAGCCCGTCTCTAGACAAAGGGCTTTGGAGGACAGGGAGACAAACACACTTGGGTCTGAGACTGGAGAGGACAGCTCCACTTCCGGAGCCAGCTTCTCAGTGAGCTCAAACATCCCAAGACAATTAACCAATATAATGCACATAATAAACCTTCACTCTTGTTTCAGATGACCTCAAAGATCCCCATCCCCATTCACTTAGAGAATACATCCGTACCATGAACACCAGAGTCATTCTCCAGGGCTCATGCCTCTAGGGCCGGATCCTTAAATTGAAATTCTTTTATGCTGGAGCGGGGAGCCTGCTGGGAATGAACAAGAGAAGGCGAAAGAGTGGGAGGCTGCAGGAGGCAGGGCCATCCCAAGAGCCTGGACCCTGAGGGCTCCAGTGTGAGGATTCCTTTTGGCTTCTTTCCTCTCTGGTCGCTGCTTCTGCTTGGAGTTGCCTGGCAAGCACTGGTAAGTTCACCGGCAGAGAGTAGCTTTTCTGGCTGAGATTATTCTGGGCTCTAGAGAGGTGTCTGTGAGTGGATGCAGTCATGATTGCTTAGTGATAGCTCTGAATTCACCTACGATCTGGAAGGCAGGGATATTGCCCAAGATTCTGCGTCTCTGCTCATGCTGGTTTTGCAGGGCCACACTTCGAAGAGAAGCATCTAGAATGCATTCCAGGCCGGGTGGAGTAAAGCGGGAGCAGTGAGTTAAGGCTTGCACCGCCAGGTTCCTCCCTTCTCTGTGGCTCCTTAACTTTCTGGGATGGATTCAGTCACTGACAACCCCACCCCATCCCTCCATCACCAAAATTAGGTGAGATGCTTTGAAAAATTCTCATTTAAAATGGAATTTTAAAATAATCTCTTTAGGTACTTGAAAATCTGCTCGAATTCCGGGATTTCCTTTCCTTTACCAATTTTGAGTCTGTGATTGTTGCTTCACTTGCACTTTATTTATTTATTGAGGCACAGTCTCATGCACCCTAGACAAGCCCTAATCTCACTATATAACTGAGGGTGAGCTTGAACTTTTCTGATCCTCCTGCCTTCATCTCCCCAGTGCTGGAATTACAGGTGTGCACCACAACACCCGGTTTATGCAGTGCTGTGGATAAAACCCAGGGGCTTGTGTATACAAGGCAAGCATTCTACCAAACCGGCTACACCCTTGGTCTTATTTGTGTTTTGAAAATTAGCATACAAAGCAATGTGCTTCATTATGGTATTTTCATGCATACTTTGATTCATTGCTATTTCTCCCCTCATTCCCCTCCTCCACGCTTGCCCTCTCTGCTAGGTTAGTCCCTTTGTCCCCTCATTACGTTTCCATATGTGAGATCTACTCTCTTCCCCTTTCCTTACTCATTCTGTAAGACCTTTCTCCTTGAGTTTGAGAAGGTCCTCTCTCTCTCTCTCTCTCTCTCTCTCTCTCTCTCTCTCTCTCTCTCTCTCTCACACACACACACACACACACACACACACACACACACACACATGAAAGTCAGAAAGTTTCAGATTTTGTAGAATTTGAGATTTTAGATATTTGGATTCAGGATATTCAAACTGTAGTGGACATTTAATTATTATTGTCTTGATTTTCAAAAGAAAAAAACACCCCACATTTGTTTTAGATTTGATTCCTTTTTGTTACTTTATTAATTCCATCCTTTAAATTTTATTTTTCAAGGTATTGAATTTATATAATATCTCAATTTGATTTTACCCGGAATCTGTCCCATTGTCTTCAAGGTGGATTTTTAAAATGTTTTATTAGCTTACATTAATAATGGATAATAATTAATTTCATCATGACATTTTCATACACATTTATCATGTATTTTTCTTATATTCACCGTCCATTACAATCTCTTGCCCCCTTGCATTCCTACTGATTCCCTTTTTCGTGCCAAAGGCCTCCTGGCCTCCTTCTACCCTCCTCTCCCTCTCTCCCTCCCTCCCTCCCTCCCTCCCTCCCTCCCTCCCTCCCTCCCTCCCTCCCTCCCTCCCTCCCTCTCTCCCTCGTTCGTTCCTTCCTTCATTTTGTGTGTGTCTGGTGTTTTAACTCTTCCCGTGGGTGTGTGTCCATGAGTATGGATGTCAGATACGAACTTTTGTCTCTTTGTTGATTGGTCTCCATTTTACTTTTTGAGACAGAAGTGCTTGCTGAACTTGGAGCTCACTGATTGGTTAGGCTGGCTGGCCAATGAACTTCAGGAATTTGCTTGTTTCTGCTCACTTCTCCCGCCTGCTCTGTCCCGCAGCAGCCCTAGGGTTGGTTACAGAAGAGTGCTGCCATGCCTGGCTTTTATGTCGGTGCTGGCGACCCACACTGAGACCCAAATGCTTCATGAGGGGCACTTTACCTACTGTGCCATTTCAAAACTAGGGAGTGGGTTTTGAATTCCAGGGAAGGTCCTCTGGGGATCAAATCCTCGCAGCAGTGGGAAAGGAGAGGCCTGAAGTGCTAGCTCTGGAAAGGATGGTGGTATTCGAAGGGGTAGAAGCATCTTTCTTGAAGATAGGAGAAGGAAGATTAAGATAGAAAAAGGAAGGGTGTTGAGGTAGCTCACTGGTAAAGACACTGGTTGCACAAGCGTGGCAACCTGAGTTTGATCCCTTGAAGCCACAGGAAGGTGGAAGGAAAGAACCGATTCCACAAACGTGCCCTCTGACCTCCACAGGCATGCTATGGTATGTATGCCCCACATCCATGTGCGAGTGCACGAGTGCGCGTGCGCACAATAGAGACAGTTGTGGCTAGTGATCACACTGGTTTAGGGAAGTCACAGCAGTGGGTTCTCTTTACTCTAACTTCGTTCTAAATACTTACCTTGAGCCTGGCGGTGGTGGCGCACACCTTTAATCCCATCACTCAGGAGGCAGGCGGATTTCTGTGAGTTCAAGGCCAACCTGGGCTACAGAGTGAGTTCCAGGAAAGGCGCAAAGCTACACCGAGAAACCCAGTCTCGAAAAACTAAAAAAAAAAAAAAAAAAAAAAAAAAAAGGAAAGAAAGAAAACGAAATATTTATCTCCATACCTACAACTAAGCGTAGCTCTCGCCTTTCACCAAAGAAACTCCTGTTTGTGGCAGATGGAGATTGTATGGAAAGCTACAACTGGTCAAAATGCAGAGAGCCACTGACAGTAGGGTGCCCGGGTCCAGTTGATACATCCACAATACAACCCTACACCTAAGGCTCAGGGAACACTTCACAAGACAGGGACAGAAAGATTAGAAGAGTCAGAGGACCAGGACATCTAATGCACCCATGAAAGGCCAACAATATGGTTGCCTGAACTAGACCTGAAATGTGACAACACCAGGCTATATGCCACTGTGGAAGGGGGAAATCCCACGAGGCCCCATTCCTGGATAGAGTTACAGGCAATTAATGGCTTCTAAAAGAAGGAGAATTAGTCTTCTCCAGGGGCAAGTGCTTATAGGCTATCTAATCCCAAATGGCCATCTCTAGACATACATACATAAAAGTAATAATACAGGGACTCAACAGGTTGTGTGTGTGTGTGTGTGTGTGTGTGTGTGTGTGTGTGTGTGTGTGTGTGTGTGTGTGTAGCAATAGCAATTAACGAAAAAGAGACCATGACTTTGAGAAGGAGTTGAGGGATGTGGGTAAAGTAGGAAGGAGTTGGAGGAAGTGATGTAAATACAGTACTCATCTATAAAATTCTTAAACAAGGGAAAAAAGATAAAGTACCATCTGTGGAGCTTTCTAGGGGTCTGCATAACATCTTAGTATAATAAAACTGCTATAAAATATCTTCAAAGGAGTAATTTATAATCCACAGAATTTTATTTTTTTCCCAGTTCTGGAGGCTGGAAGTCCAAGAGGCAGGCACTAGCAGATAAAGTGTCTGGTGTGTAGGCCTTTTCCTCATGGATGGTGCTGTCTCTGTGTCATCAATTGACAGAAGGGGCTGAAGGGCTCCCTCAGATCTCCTTTATAACCCCATTCATGACTTAAAGGCCTTGCTTCTTTTTCTTTTCTTTTCTTTTTTAGGTTCTGAGGTTGAATCTAGGGCTTTTTGCATGCTGGGTGTGTACCTCCAGTATCCCACTGGATGATTCTAGGCAGGTGCTCTACCACTGAGCAATACCCCAGCCCCTCACTGGGGGAATTCTAGGCTGGTGCTCTACCACTGAGCAATACCCCAGTCCCTCACTGGGGGATTCTAGGCAGGTGCTCTACCATCGAGCCACACCCCAGCTCCTCACTGGGGGATTCTAGGCAGGTGCTCTACCACTGAGCCACACCCCAGCCCCTCACTGGGGGATTCTAGGTGCTGCTCTACCATTGACTCCTCACCAGGCTTCAGCATCTGACTTGGGGAGGGTGGCAACAGTTAGATCATAGCACATGACCATCATGATCATTAGAGAATGAGAAAGGGAAGATGGTTGGGAATGGCAATGGTTGGAAGCAGCTTCTGGGCACTGAAGAAGGTTCCTATTAGGGCAGAGATAAAGACGGCAAACTTGGTATTATGGACAGAGAACTGAGAAACTTCTGAAATTTATCCTCAAAAATGGTTACCCCTCATCATGGGGAGATAAACGTTTAAAGAACAGAGATTAGGAATTTGAATTTTTATCCTCATTTTGGCTTTGCCCCAAACCCTATAGCATTTAATTATGGCAAATTCTTGTTCCCAAGATGGTAAGGTATAAAGAATGTTAGATTAGAGTAAATCTTGACATTAACTCTGTTTACTTCATCACATTGCTTTCTAGCTCCTTAATCCAACATGTTGTGGTTATTTTAAATTAAAAAATGATTTATTTTATGTGTATGAGTGTTTGGCATGCATGTATGTATGTGTACCCCATGCATGTAACCATGGAGGCCAGAAGAAGACACTGGATCTTCTGGAACTGTAGTTACAGATGGTTGAGAGCCACCATTGTGGGTGCTGGGAACTGATCCAGGGTCTTCTGCAAGAGCAACAATACTCTTTTTTTTTTTTTTTTTTTTTTTTTTTGGTTTTTCAAGACAGGTTTTCTCTGTGTAGCTTTGCACCTTTCCTGGAACTCACTTGGTAGTCCAGGCTGGCCTCGAACTCACAGAGATCCTCCTGGCTCTGCCTCCCGAGTGCTGGGATTAAAGGCGTGCGCCACCACTGCCTGGCTACTTCTTTTTTTTTTTTTTTTTTTTTGGTAAGCAACAATACTCTTAACCACTGAGCTTCCTTCCATCCATCTGTGTTGATAAGTCTGTCAACCTGACACAAACTAGGAAGGGAGTCTCAATGAGGGATTGTTTGGTTCAGGTTGGCCTGTGAGTGGTGTGTGTGTGTGTGTGGTGGACCATGAGAGACCTGCCCCCACGATCCTCTCAGGGTAATGAAAGAAATGCCTCAGAGTAGTGAGGGGTAGGAAACTTTTTTATCTGAGGGTAATTAGGAACAAGTTTTAGTCTGTCTATCACACTTATTCATTCTTTCACTCATTCATTTCCTCACACTTCTCTCATGGTTCTTCTTCATCTCTCACCCAGCACACACACACACACACACACACACACACACACACGTACAGACACTTCACTCACATTCTGCAGCAGCTCTTGTCAAGAAGTGTCACAGCACGGGTGTGTGGGTTCTATGGAAAGAAGACTCAGGGGCATCTTAAGAATGAATTTAGCCTTTGAGGCTGCAGGGGGATCCAGCCTATCTGGACTCAAGACTCTAGGGACTGACCCCTTTCCCTTCACCCAGGGCATTTTTATTATTCTCAATATTTACAGTTTAGCCAATTGATTTCCATATGCTCAAAACAACCTGAAAGGAGCTCCCAAAAATACAATGCCAAGTGCAAATTCTACAATTTATCAGGTATCGCAATTTGCCTGGTTTCCTGAACCAAGTTTTGCAGAGGCCTTTGTATCCTTGGGAGACTCTGAAACAAGGTTCACATAGGACAAACGAAAGGTATCAGTTAAAGGAAAGATGGATTAGGGTTAGGTACTACTCTCTGGAGCCAGGCCAGGAGTAGCTCAGCAGGGATGCAGCCACAAGCTCTCACACAGCTCTACACAGCTAATAAACAATTGACTGAATCTTGAATGGTCAGGGTACCTACAGAAAGGGAGCTACTGCAAGGACTGTGTCTTGATGTAAACAGCCTGGCCTTGATTTAGCAATAGACAACACTAGGAATTAGTCTTTGTGTATATTCTGTAGGGGCAGCTAGTCTGTATTGGACTTGTTCTAAGGTCTTTGCAAAATGTATATACAGCTTAAACAGAAATCCACAGCTAAATGGGTGCCCAGAGATGTAAAACACACTGCCAAAGGGCCGTGGAAAGCACCCCACAGCTGTTCTTACAGGGAGGTCTGATGGTGGCACCTGAAAAAGTTACAGACAGAAAACAACCGGTTTCCACAGCCAGTGACCCCACGGCTTTGCCAGGTGGGGCTCCCCATCAGGGAGTTATATGTCTGGTGGGTCGACTTGTCAAACATCAGTTGTCACCTGCTGTATACTCCCACGTCCCTCAGCGTGTGTGTGTGTGTGTGTGTGTGTGTGTGTGTGTGTACTGGAGCTCAGTGACGTGTCATTCTCTGGAAGTCATCCACCTTGTGTTTGAGATAGGATCTCTTGCTGGTTGGAGGCTCTCCAGTTGGCTAGGATCCTCCTGTCTCTGCCTCCCCAGCAGTGGGGTTTCAAGTGTCCACCACCACACTCCGAATTTTTACATGGGTTCTGAGGATTAAGCTCAGGTTTTCATGCTTGTGCGACACTTTACTGATTGAGCCCCCTGCCCCCAATCCATGAAAATGTACTCTTGAAAGGGATCATGGGATTCTGTCCATCTTCCCCTCTCCTTACATTGAAACTTTTTGCTCCAACATGCCCTTCTCCTCATTGCCATCCAAGACATGACACATTCTTTCAGTGAGTGACCTTCACCAATCTGTGCTATGCTATTTGGAGTTCAAACCTCCACAACTGTGAGCTAACTAACATTTTTTATGTTTATAAAAGCGCTTACCTCAGGTATTGTCTTATAGGCATGCAAAACAGACTATATGGTGTTTGATCAACCTTGGAGAGGAGCATATCTTGCTTTGCAGATCCTTGGGTTAGCAGGTGAATAAAACAGGCTGAAGCCTCCTCTAAAGGGCAGTGAGTGGGACACCTTCACTGATAATTGTTCTCTGCTCAGTGGCAGAATGTGTGGCAAGTTCCTGAGGCAGCTGTTGGCTAAGGAGAGCCGGCATTCCACCCCCGTGGGGCGCTTCCTACTTCCGGTGCTCATGGGATTCCGCCTCCTGCTTCTGGTTTCCAGTGGACCTGGTGTCTTCGGTGATGAAGAGAACGAATTCATGTGTCATTTAGGGCAGCCAGGCTGCAAGACCACTTGCTATGACATCTTCCGCCCCCTTTCTCCATTGCGCTTCTGGGCCTTCCAAGTCATCCTGATGGCTGTACCCAGTGTCCTTTACATGGGTTTCACTCTGTATCATGTGATTGGATACTGGGAGGAACCAGAAAAAGAAAATAAGGGACAAGAGACACGGATTTGCAAGGGGGACCATAGCAAGGATGTCTCAGGGGCTGGAAGCCTCAAGCTTCTCTGGGCCTATGTGGCACAGCTTGGGGCGAGGCTGGTCCTTGAGGGAGCAGCCTTGGGAGTTCAGTACCACCTGTATGGCTTCAAGATGCCCAGCACTTTTATATGTCGTGAGGATCCTTGCATCGGTAGCACGACCTGTTTCCAGTCCCACCCCTCTGAGAAGACCATTCTCCTCAATACCATGTTTGGAATCAGTGGGACCTGTCTCTTGTTCACTTCCTTGGAGCTTATGCTTTTGGGTTTAGGGAGGTTTTGGAGGATGTACAAGCACAAACTTTCCTTTTTAAAGAACTTGCAAACCTCAAAGAGCTCCATAAGACGCAAGGACCCAGCTGATGACTTGTCGGTGGTGGAGACAAAAGAGCCATTTTGAGAAGCAGGTGAGGACCCTACTGATACTGACAGTCATCTGTCCCTGCCTCTGATGTCTCTGTGTTGGCGACCTCCACCCATGGTAGGTCCCTCATCCTCTGGGGCGTACAGCTCCCCATGTTACAAACTAGATAACCGCTCTCAAAGCAGACACACTCTAAAAAAAGATTTACTTTTAATTTTAAATTGCATGTGTGCGTGTGTGTGTGTGTGTGTGTGTGTGTGTGAGTGTGGGTTTGTACACATGAGTGGAGGTGCCTGTGGAGGCCAGAAGACAGTGGTAGATTCCTTGGAGCTGGAGTTACAAGCAGTTGTGATCCTCCTGATGTGGGTGCTTGGAAGCAAACTAGGCTTCTTTGCAAGAATAGTACACATTCTTAACCACTGAGCCATCTCTCCAGCCCCCAAATGTATTTTTTTAAAGGGAGGAAGTGTTTACTTTGGTTAACAGTTTGGGGTACAGTCCCTCGTGGTGAAGAAGGTGTTCATTTATGTATATAAAATAGGTAGCCCTGGCTGGCCTGGAACTTGCTATGTAGACCAGGCTGGCTTTGAACTCACAGAGATCTACCTGCCTCTGTCTCTCAAGTGCTGGGATTAAAGTCACGAGCCACCACTCCTGGCTGAGTCAGATGTGCTTTGATTACTACCCCGCAAACATCTCCCAACCCCTGTCCCTATCAGTTGTGTGACTCCCAGTAGACAACCATGAGCGTACTAGTGCATGTACTGCCATGGGGCCAAGTCCTCAGCTTCTGCTTCATTTCTCCTTTACAGAGTTCTAAAGTTACCTGGCTTGCTTGCAGAAAACCTTTGCGACTGGATCTTCTTCCACGCATCCAGTGAGATGACTGGTGAGACGGTACAGTGGGTAAAGGTGCTTGCCACCAAGCCTCATGATCTGAAATCCATCTCCAGAACCCACATGGAGAAGGGAGAAAACCAACTCCCACAAGATGTCCTCTGACCTCCACATATGTGCCACAGCACATACACACATGATAATAAAATAATAAAATCTCAGAAAACAAAACAAAAACTCTTGCATCAATTAGCTATTACTTCTAACTTCTTATCTCTCTTGTCTTTCCACTAAATGTAAGCAACCACTTTCTGTTTTAATGGGTTATCATAGTCTGGGATTTTATAGAGATGGAATCATGCAACATGCTTATTGGTCACTTGTATATCTTTGTAGAAAAGACCAAATTCTTCTTTGCCAATTAAAATCAGTTTTTTGTTTTGTTTTGCATTGTAAGAACTTTTTATATAACATGATTATTAGATAATTATCAGATGAGTCATTTCAAAATATTCTCTTCCATTCTATGGTTGTCTTTCATTTTTTTTTCTGAGTAGTATTCTTTTAAAATTATTTATTCTTTGATACTTTCATACATGTATTCGGTGTATTTTGATCACGTCTACCCTCACATCCCTATCTAACTCTTCCTGGATCCCCCATCATGTCCCCATCCTGATTTCATGTCCTCTTTTTTCTCTATAATTCACTGAGTACAAAATTAGTGCTACTCAAATGGGCATGGGTGTCAAGCCACCTAACAGAACATGGTCAGCCTACCTGATGCCACATCCCTGAAGAACATGGACTCTTCCTCCACCATCGTCTATCAACTGCTAACAGTTTCTCAGCTGTGGATAGTCCACCAGCCATCCATGCTGGAATGATGAGTGCTATAAGCCTGTGTAGACAACAACTGCTTCTGTGAGCTCCTGAGTGCAGCATCTCTGCTGTGTTAAGAAGACATGGTTTCGAAGCAGACCCCCCAGAGCTCTGGCTCTTTAAACCTTACTTCCCCTCTTCTCTGATGTCATCTGAGCTTTGGGGCCAAGGGTGTGATACAGATGTCTCATTTGTGGCTGAGTACTCCACAGACACTTGTTCTCTGCGTTTTAACAAAATGTGAGTCTGAGTATCAGACACTGTCAACTGCAAGAAGAAATTTCTCTGGTGGGCAATGAGAGTTGACCTAATCTATGGGTATAGGGAATTATTTAGAAGACAGTTTGATACTATGTCAATGTAGCAAACTAATAGTAACAGGCTTTTCTTCCCCAGAATGGTTTCTTGGCTGGATTTATAGTACCGGGCATGAGTTTCCTCCTGTGGAGTGGATCTTCAATCCAATCAGAAAGCAGTTTGTTACTCCCATAACACTTACACCACTGTTGCACCCTCGGGTGTGTCTTGTGAGGCTGGTTGTTGTAACTCACAGGATTTATACATGAGTAAGACTGTTGATTACGAGGAAAACTAGCCAGCAGGGACTTGACAGTATTCTTTGATGCACAAAAGCTTTCCATTTTGATGAAGTCAAATTACTCATTTTTTGTGATTTTGGTGCTACATTTAAGAGGCCATTGTTTGACCCAAAGCTACTAATGTACACCTGTGTTTCCATCTAAGAGTTTTATACTTTTAACTTCTACATTTATGTCTCTGATCACTTATGAGTTATTTTTTTACAGTGAGAAAAAAGACAAAGATGAAAATATATTTCTTATTGGAAATAATGTAAATGAGCAAAATCTTTGAGGTATAAAAATGAAAAAAAAATCCTGTTAGAATCCTACCATTGGCAGAAATAACTCTCCAAAGCAAAGGCAAAATAAAGGCATTTGTGAGTTAAAAACAAAAGCTAAATAAAAGTTTACAGCTGACCAATATTTCAATAAGTGTTGGTGATCTACTGTTTTAGTTACTTTACTGTTGCTGTGCTAAACCATCATGACCAAGGAAATTTATGAAATAAACTGTCGTATCTAAGACTCTCAGTTCTAGAGGGGTAGACCCATGAACATCATCAAATTGTGCTGTGCTTAAATATGCTTAAAACAAACCATTCGGGGTCAGGCTCTCGATGTTTGAACCAACACCAGCTACTGAGCCATGTTGAACCAAATCTTCTTGCCTCTTACGGATCACCTCTTTGCTGGCCCGTGAAGGAGTTCGTTTGGTTCAACACTTTCCTGGTGATTACCTAATAATCCCACGTGCACAATAAAACACAAAGTAAGCTAAATAAATATTGGATGTTACATTGAAACTCTTTGTAAAGTACATGTGATAGGTTCTATAGATTAACTGAGAAAAATAAGCTTAAAAATTGGGGGAGGGTTCAATGTTGTCTCCAGCTCCATACTTAGTGCAAAAGCTAGATAGTGCAAAGGTCACCAGACTAGAAATCACACCTGCTTCCAGCCTTCTGGGAGGATAACAGGTATTTTATTTCTTCCCTTGAAAGAACATCTTGGTGTTCTTAACGTTCCTGGTTCATGCCTCCTCACCCTACTGTGCCTCCTAAATCCTACGTATATTAGAGTGAAGCAATTCCTTATGATAAATCTCACACAGGTACAAGAACACATGTACATATACTGACATTTTGTTGGTTCTGTTTCTTTGGAGAACCATAGACTAATACATTTACCAACTATGTAAATAACCAGCAATAAATGCATGTGGAATCTGTCATGTATTTACAAGTAAAATCTTTGACAACAATAGCTCTCCTTGTCATTAGGAAATGACTTTATCTATTCTGTGCTTTTAAATCTACTTTGAGGCTTCCGAGTAAGATGTGGGGTAGAAGGGGGTTCCAGGGAATCCAGTAAGGGAAAAGAGTGAGAACAACAAGAAAAAAAAACTTCAGAAAGAAAGAGAGAAAAAGCTTCAGAAATTTACAAAGGTAGTATTAGGGTATGTGAAAAGTACAGAAAAACATAGGTTGATGCATTGGTAAGAAGTAACCCAAGGGCTGATGGTTCAGTGGTTAAGAGCACTTGTTACTCTTACAGAGGATCAGAGTTGGGAGGATCACAACTATGGTAAGTCTAGTTCCAAGGGATCTGACACCCTCTTATGGCCTCAGTGGTCACGGTACTTACGTGCACATATTCATCCATAGGTACCTCCTCCCACAGGGTGATTAATACACAGACAGTTTGCAGTGTTGTGGTACTTCTCACAATTCCAACACCTAGGGCCGACACTTTCAGTCCCCAGCCCCAGACAGAATACTAGTTAACCCAAGGGGTAGCATCTGAAGGTTCAGAGAGCCTGCGCAGACTGTGGGTAGTTAAGTGTGGTCAGCAGAGGCCACTGATTTGCCAAGAAGACAAGTTACTAAGTGAAGGCAGATGCAGTACTCTGGAAGACAGCACTTGTCCAACGCAGAGTCAGCAACATCATAAACCAGAGGAGAGACAAGACTCTATATTTCATCAGACCCTTTTCCTCATTCCATGCATGTATGTGGCCATCTACACTTTTATTTAAAGTTTTACTTTTTTTTTTAATGATTGAGTGTTGCCCTGCATGAATGTTTGTGTACTATGTGACTGTCTTGTGTCCATGGAAGAGGGCATCAGAGTCCCTGAAACTGGAGTTACGGGTGGTTGTGAGCCACTGTGTAGGTGCTGGGAACTGAACCTGAGTCCTCTGCAAGGGCAGCCAGTGCTATTAACCACTGAGTCACCTCTGCAGCCTCACACTTTCCAGTGTTTGATACCTAGGAAGAAGCTGCTCTACATTTCATCCCTCAAAAAAAAGTTGACTTTATTTCTGTGTGTGTGTATGCGCGCGCGTGCGCGCGCGCGTGCGTGCGTGTGTGTGTGTGTGTGTGTGTGTGTGTGTGCAAATGTACATGGTGAGATCAAGTGAAGGTCAGGTGTTTTCCTCAGTCCCTTTCCAACTTCTTTTTAAAGACAGAATCTCTTACTGAGCTTGGAGCGCACTGATTGGCCAGCATGGCTGGCCAGTGAACACCAGGAATTCTCCTGTTTCCACCTCCTCAGTGCTAGGATTACAAGCACATACTGCCACGTCTACCCCACCTCCACTTTGTGAGTGCTGGAGATTGAACTCAGGTCCCTCCCAGTAAAGTGCAACAAGCATTTTACTGACCAAGCCATCTACCAAGAACTAATCGGTAGCTTTTTTTTTTTTTAATATACTAATCATGAACTTAGCTGAGAAGAAAATCTTGGAAAATATTGCAATTCAAAATAGTTTATAAAATGCCTAAGATTGGGCTGGAGAGGTGGCTCAGTGGTCAAGAGAACTTGCTGCTCTTTCAGAGGCCCCGAGCTCAGTTTCCAGGACCCATACTGGGTATATACACATGGAATATTCTCTCTCTCTGTCCCTCCCGTTCTCTCATACACATGCACATAAATAAAAATAAAACAAATCTTTAAAAATGTCTAGAAATAGATTAAACAAAGTGAAACACATTCACAGCGAAAACTGAAAAAGTGATTGAAGAATACACAAGGAATGGAAACACCTCCCATGCTCATGGATTGGTAGAATAATGTTTCGAAAACGGCTCCATTACCAAGAGGAATGAATATACAAATTCATTGCAATCTACATCAAAATTCCAATGACATTCTTTATGCTAGAAAAAAATTCATGTGGGGACACACACACACACACACACACACACACACACACCACTAAATAGCCAAAGCTATTCCAACTAGGTGTTGCAGGTTTCATAATACTTGTCAAATTATACAACAGAGCTATAGCAACAAAGTCAATGTGGCACCAAATACAGACCCATGGAGCAATGGAATAGAATAGAGGACCCAGAAATAAACTATACAGCTAGACTTCCTAAATTTTGAGAGAACTGCCAAAAATACACACAGTAGAGAGAAGATTAGCCTCCTAGCAAATGGTTTCAGAAAACTTGGCTATCCTCATGTAGAACTGGATTCTCTCTGCACAAAACCCAAATTTAAATGGATGAAAGCCTTAAGGAAAAATTAAAACTGGTGGGAAAATAGGTGAAATTTCAAAAATGCAGATGTAGGCAGGGACTTTCTGAAGAGGCTGCACAGGAGGCAATCCCAAGAATTGGCAAATGGCATTCTTCAGGATTGAGAAACTCCTGCACAGCAAAGGAAGCAACCAAAGCGAAGAGAGCCTACAGCAGTGGAGAGTCTTTGCCCAGTATACAGTAGGTAGATAATTATTATTCAGAGCATAGAAAGAACTTTAAAAATGAAACACCCCCTAATTTTTCCCATCTCCAAATGGGCTAATGAATCAAACAGACAGTTAATGAAAGAACTACAAATAGCCAATAAACATTTGAAAAAGCACTCGACATCATTAGCCATCATGACATACAAACTAGAAGCACTCTAGGATTTCACCTCATTTGAGTCAGAATGGCTATCATCATGAAAAGAAATGCTGGGGGAAGAGAGACCCTTATTCCTTCTGGTGGGAATGCAAACTGGCGCATCAACCATGGAAGTCATTTGGAGTTTGTCGTACAGCTGAAAACAACTACCATATGACCCAGCTATGTCTTTTGGGCATGAGCCTGAAGACTTGAAATCAACATACATAGGAGATGCTTGCACTTGTCTACGGCTGTACTATCGCTAGGAAGTGATACCATCCTATATGCCTATCAACAGATGAACTGATAAATATGATGCTTATGCAGAATGGAATTTTATTTAACTGTACAGAAGATGAAATAATGGTGCTAGTAGAGAAATGTATGCAACTGAGTCAATATGTTAAGCAAAATGATTCAGACTCAGAAACACACATTCCACACATTTTTCCTCATACCCAGAACACAAATTTAAAATTATATATGTGTTTATATGTGTATGTATGTGTCTACGTCATGAAAATAGAAAGAGGACCATGAGAGGGGAGGAAGAGATGCTAAGGTGAGGAGAATTCAGAGTAATGGAATGCATTTGGCATGAAAATAGAAGGGGGCATCTCTTGGAGACAGGAAGAGGACCATCCAGACAAGGATAGGGGCAACGTAGAGGAGGGCAATGGGGGAGAGGCATGAAGTATAATGACACACACACACACACACACACACACACACACACACACACACACACACACACACGCACACAAAATCTTATAATGAAACACAGTAAATTATATAGTAACTAAAAAAATTAATAAAAGAGATAGGTTCTCTGTTCGTGTCTTTTCCTTTATCTGATACAAAGTCATGGAGCTCCAGACTGATTTCAAAGTCAGTATATAGCTGAGGATGACCTTGAACTTCTAATCCTCTTCAACTTCTGATCTTTTTGTCTCTATCTCTTGAGGGCTGGGGTCGAAGGCATGCACTACCATGCCAGTTTTATGTGGTGCTAGAAAGTGAACACAAGATTTGATGAACGTTAGCAATGTGCTCTATCAACAGACCACATTCCCAGGCCCCCTTAGTCTCCTCTTAATTGGATAACTCTTACCTTAGTATAAAGATCTTGGCTTCGGTGTCACTTTTTTTGGTGTTTTGACACAAAGACTAAATGAGTAGATCAGAATGGTTTTCAACTTACAACCCTTCTGATAGAGCCTTCCCAGTACTGGGGGTTGCAGGCATGTGCCACCAAGTCTGGCTTAAGCATCACTTCTTTGAAGACATTGTACTGGTCATTTTATGTCAACTTGACACAGCTAGAGTTGTCAGAGAGGAGGGAGTCTCAGTTGAGAAAATGCCTCCTAAAGATTGGGCTGTAGCAAGCCTCTATGATATTTTCTTAATTACTGATTGATGTAGGAAGGCCCAGCCCATTGTGGATGGTACCTTCGCTGGGCTGGTGGTCCTGGGTTCTATAAGAAAGCAGATTGAGCAAGCCATGAGGAACAAGTCAGTAAGAGTACT